TACTACTACTACTACTACTACTACTCTCTCTCTCTCTCTCTCTCTCTCTCTCTCTCTCTCTCTCTCTCTCTCTCTCTCTCTCTCTCTCTCTCTCTCTCTCTCTCTCTCTCAAAAATATCAATTGCATGACAAAAGGTTTGCTTTGAAGCCTCTATCAAGGGTTCCCACTGATGTACAAAGACCCAAAGGTGATGCAGTTTCCTAGTGATAGAAACGGCATGCAAATTAATCATTGATGGTGATAGTACATAGATGATGTGTTTTGTTCATAGGTGATCGAATGATCTAATTTTCTCAATGGAGCCAAAAATTACCCAATATTCAATGTCCTTTGATTTTGACATTTTGACAAATATCAGAATGAATATTCATTCGCAAGAGGGGGAGAAAAATATTATAAATACTCTCAACAATAGTCTTTTCTTACATGAGGAAACACAAAGATTTAGTTTGATACGAGGCTTCCATCATCGACCACAAGGATTCGAGATCTAAAGATATCCGGTTGACTTAGGCATTGGAATGACTTCGTTGAGAATACTTCCAAAAACAATCTTTTCTATTGTTGAGAATACTTCCAAAAACAAGATGTTGGATTACCTTCAAAATTCAGATTGATGATCCATTGTTGAACCAACAGGACATGGCATCATTTAAGGGTTCATCATTTTGGGGCATAATTTAGGTTTAACAAAGGTTTGAAGAAAACTGTTGTTAATGTAACAACTGTTTGACTCGACAATTTGAAACTTTGACGTTGTAATATAAAACCATTGATCCTAAACCAAACTATGGTAACCCAAATCACAACCATAATATGTTCTAAGTTCCACCATATATTATTGTGTAGCATGTAGTAATAAACTTTGACTCTCAGTTCTTTTATACGCATATATATATATATGCATACGTTGATAAGCTCACCTTCATTTCCATCTCCCTCCTCACCTCTTCTACAAGAGTGAGTGAGAGGAGTTCATAAGAGAGAGCGAGAGAGAGAGAGAGAGATATGGCAGGGATCTGTGAGGCCGCCAAAGCCACCGGTGGCAGCCCACGACTGAAGCTGTTCGGGTTCCATATGTCTCACAAGGAGGAGCCCGCAGGCGGTGGCGCGCCGCCGGTGGTGTCGGAAGCCGCCTCCTCTTCTACCACCGTCGCCTCATGCGCCGCCTGGGACGGGAGGAAGTACGAGTGCCAGTACTGCTGCCGCGAGTTCGCCAACTCGCAGGCGCTGGGGGGCCATCAGAACGCGCACAGGGAGGAGCGCCAGCGGCAGAAGCGTGCCCAGCTGCAAGCCCGAGCTGCCCACCACCAGCGGAGCCCGCGTGCCATCTCTTCGGTGGCTCAGCCGGCGATCTATGCCGGGTTCTCGCGCCCCAACCCGCCCCACGACGTGCTGCATCACTGCGCCGCTCCGGGCTGGACTTACGTTGCCGAGGGCAGTCTGACCGTATCGCCGGCCCCACGTGGGTTGGACGGTGGCCCCGAGGGATCCAGAGACGTGGACCTCCACCTCAGCCCGGCGCTGGCCCCACGCGGGTTGGACGGTGGCCCCGAGGGATCCAGCGACCTGGACCTCCACCTCAGCCTCGCTCCGGCCGGGTTGTGACTCGATCTCGACTCGGCCGGGTGGTGCGATCTCTACCATCCTCGTCTTTCTTTTGCTGGGTTGACCGAGTACGCTATAGATTTGTTTAGCCTTTTCCTACACTTTGTTGCGTCTTTCTCGAGTATTACTACGCTCCATTCCCACTGGTGGTGTGTGTGTGTGTAGATTTTTTATTTTTAATTCAAGGGATACCTAATAATTTTGATAAGTTATATTATTACATTTGGTCAACAATCACATCCTTTGATTTAACTTAACGTCCAAAAATAATGATCAAATATCATGATTCATGAAGAGTTTTGTGTATCGATGAATAATGAACGTAACAATAAATCGATGTATCACTCGTACCAGCCTCCTATCGAATCGATACATACCATAGATACCAAATAAATACCAAACAAAACACTATTATAAGACAAATCTTGATATAAATCAATATTAGTCAATTTAACATTCTTATTTCAAATCTCTTGTGCAAGGCTTTGAAGATTTTAGTTACTGAACTTGCTGTGGAAACCAAACCAATAAACCTAGCTACATCAATAATCATGCGCTAATATAAAACAAAATTATTTCAACAAATAATCCATCAAATTTAACCAACAATAATTGTATGGGTACATGGCATGGCAAGAATTTTAAGACTGAAACTTTGTCAACATGCAAGTATATCAATAAAGAACGAATTTAGTGCAATAATGCTACTGTCAATATATCATTAACCATGCAACATTAGATATGTATGTTAAAAGCAATCGTTGTTGCCTTTTCCTACTCAATTGTCTAAACCCTTGTACTTGTGAACAGGACTAGTGTTGTACATGAAGAGTTTTGTGTCTCATAACTCAAGAGCATGGCAGTAAATAGAACTGGATAACAGGGACAAAATGAAAACTGACATCACAAATCACCGGGTGTTACAGCAGCAGATTATGCAAACTGACATTTTCTTTAACCTAATTCAAAGTCTATGCACAAGAGGTATCTGTTTTACCTCATTTACCTCCATGCTAATCTAGTCGGAAATTATATAAACCATTCAACAGATGCACACATCTGATTGGCATTAAATCATGAATCAGAAATCAAGCACTACATCCTACAGCATTAAAATTATGAAACTAGTAACCTTGCAGTGATGGACAGCCTCTGATCATCTTTCTGCTGCTTGAATCCATTATTCCGATTGCACCTGCTTATTAATTCTTGAGAACAGTACCAAAACATGAGTACCAAATAAATGGAAAACGGACCTCATTGTATTCGAAATGCATGTAATTGAGTCGCACTGAAGCCAGTTTACTACTTTAACAGATACAACAGCCAGCAAAAAACTTCGAGTGCAAATCTCTTTTAACACTAGCCCAGTAAAAACAGAGGACTCATGAATGATGAGTGTTCCACAGGCTTCAGGAGGGTAATGATGCATATGTGAGCAAACAATGAACAGTAGCACATTTACAAATGAATATTGCACTATACTTATCAATTGGGGGGATGAAATGCTTAACCCTTCTTATCGGAACGGTTGAGGTTGAGATTAAACCATTTCTTTTTGTTTGATTTATCTTTCCCATCAAAACTTCCATCCTCTGCTGGGCTATCCAATCTACTATCATCGTTTGGGATTTTGCTACTGCTACCAGTAACACCACTAGAATTGATCATGGTTCGCACAGTTGTAAATGAGGAATGTATCGTATCTCTTTGTTTCAGCAGTTCATCAACCTGGAGGAGAATAACATATTCATCAAACCAGTACAATCTCTCACGCATTTGACAATGCAAGTATTGATGCAGCAATGTTACATTAGAAAGTAAAGAAATTAAAATATAACTCAAAAACTAAAAAAAGAAAATATCTCCCAAAATAGTCCACAATATACCGGATAGATGAAGTTTATTTTACTTCCTCAAACTAATAAGATACTAAACTAACAAATCACATATCTTTAAGTCCCTGGTCTACGTTCAGAAATAATGAACAATGAATGAAAAAGAGATGGATAAAAAATCGATAGCAGGTTTAGAAACCTTGTCATGTGGTAAACCATGAAGATATAGATGGAATTCTCAATAAGGTTAGACAAAAAAGTCTCGGACCATGATCAGAACCTTGTACAATTAAATTTCAACTGCTGAAGATTTGACCATTAAGCAACCATCTATATTAGAAACATAGAGATCCACCAATAAAATACATGTTTATAGATAGGGTTCCAGATGTCATGATTGAGGACCATAACATTAAGAGATGCATCCCTAGATAGAAAATATCATATCTCTGTTGTGATAATTATTATGATTAAAATTTGTTCAGAAACAAATATAATAGAGTCCACTCATTCAGCAGTTTTCATACAGATTCATCCAGATTAACTTTTTAACAAAAATATTTCTGATCCAATCTGAATAAACATTACTGTCTACCACTCATTCAACAGTTTCCATACAGATTCATCCGGATTAACTTCATAAAGTGAATTCTAAATCAAGAATGATGATATAGAATTATTTGAGAACTTGACACTCAACGGGCCATTCCAAATTAAACAGAGACCAACAACAACTGAGAAAATTTTGTTATAATGATGGAAATGTATTTGTACGGAAGATACATACAGACTGCTTTTCTTGGTTGTATTTGTTTGTCACTTCTTGAAAGCGTGCCAGTGCCTACATAAAAAAGCAAACTAAAGTTAGATGGACCATGACATGCCACCTCCATTTTGATGGACATTATCAAATAAAATAACCTACTTTTCTATACTCTATTTCAAACTGGCGCAAATCATTTCTCTTTGCCAAAATTTTAGCCTCAACCTCTTTAAGTCTCCCAGTTGTATCTTCATAGGATTTTGCACACATAGCTTCAATGGTATAGGTAGCTGGCTTAAAAAAATTATCGCCTGAAAGAACCAAGTGAGGTGAAAAAAAATTAATTTGAATTTGTCATGTAAATTAGACCATAAAACACATGAACAAAGAAGTGTTAGTGAGACGAACCATAAACAGCAAATATGTGGGTTCCAGGTTTTAATTCAGATACTTCACAAGGTTGTAGACCTTCCAATCTTTTGAAGAAAGCAGCCTCCGGATCTTTAGCCATTGCTAACTACACAAAAGATTTAAGATTCAAATGCTCATACACATCATAGACCACATCCACATCCACTTTATCACAAATTACAACCAAGAAAGCCAGAGCTAACACACCGCGTTGACTGTTGAATCCATCCGATACACCTGAAAGTGTAGAAAGTACATCCCTGCAGATGTTGCCTTGCCAGTCTTTTCACTATCTTCCTGGTGATACAGAAAACTGAAATTATAATGAACGGAAAAAGCCCTTTCTGTACACTGAACTCATAACGCAACATATCTTCCTTGTTATAAACTCAAAATATAAGTTATAATACCAATTTTGCGGATACAGAATATCATAATTTGTAAGAAATAAACTGCAAGCTTTGTTGTGTTGTATGAAAGATATGAAGTAAATTTGCTATTTACCAGTCAAACTAAAGGAAATAACAACTTATTCATAAGGTCAGAGTACTATTTGAGTAAGATGGAATTTCTACTGCCTCGATACAAACCCATAGTCAGAAAGGATCTTTCACGCTATTAAAGAAAGAATTTTACTAACTCCCACCGAGTGGTGATGCATCTTGCAGGTTTATGTACATCATTTGGTTGATTAAAAAGTATAGAACTTGTATTAAGTATCATAAATATCACTAATCAACCTTACGAGTTAAGTGTCTAATGAGACCATTTCACTAACAACTGTTTAAATTTAAATGATTAGATGCTCAAGGGTTCCCCAGGCAGATTATTCGATCTTAATTAACCGTTTTAAACCATATTAAGAGGAAATAAGAGAATTAGTAGAGAATAATTGTTACTAAAATAAACTCATTGATCCAAAGATTAGTAGAGATAAAAGAATTCATCAGATATATTTTAGAGATAATCAGAATAAACAGAGAAATTAAATGTAAACAAAACAAATAAAATTATAAAAAGAAGTGCACACAGAAATAATAGAAGGAAAATCGGAAATTATAACATTACAAAACCAAGTTACTTAAAAATAATGCTCAAAAGCAATCTTATACAACCAAATCTTAATGTTAAATGTAGATGAAAATCATACAAAATAAAGAAACTTACTCTGGGACCATACATACTGTTTTAAGTTTATTCAATGAATAATAGAATTGACACAAACCAAAACCTAATTTATCTACTATGGACCAACTTATACGTAAGTCAACCCTATGCTGCTCATTAAGGAAGCAATATTTTTCTATAAAATCATGAACCACCTACATGTACCAGCATTATGCAGAATAGGTTCATAAGCATACAATTTTGTTTCAGTATAAAAATGAAAATTACATTCCTAGCAAAGAGAACAGCTAAATATGATGTGAATATCTCAAATGTGAGTAATCAGTATGCTTGATCAAAGGCAAAGCCAAATTTGCCCCCCAAAAAAACAATTCTTACGGTTGCTTCTTTATTGTAGTTTATAGAACAAACCCATTAAGTTCCATATGATAATGAACATTCAACATTCTTTTTGTACCTTTCCAAAAGCAAGATAGACAAGGACATCTGTTTTGTACAATGATAAAAGCAAGAAGAATTTATCACAATCACCTGTAAAGCTAATCCATAGCCACCATTTGGTTCTTGTTCAAAGTAAAGTAGCTGTGACAACAACGAAAAATCCAGAACAAAGTTAACCACACAAAAGCATACAAATTTATGTTCAAATGAACACAGGAAATAACTGGATAAGAAAAAAGTTGCATCTTGTCATCATGCAGCAAATCTATGTTGTTTAAGCAAGTTAATGTCTTTTTCTCACCTTAAATTTACTTTGGGAAGCTGAGATTACTCTGATAACTACCCCTGCTTGTGCTTGATGATCATTAATTGTAATGCTAAAGAAATGTGCACATTGCTTTTCAACCTGCATCCACATG